TATATATATATATGACATTCAGTTTGTATAAGACACATCCAGAGAGTCAAAAAAAAAAATAGTGGGGAATGAGGCCCAGGGTTTTCCCTATGCTGAGCATGTACTCTAACCACTGAACCTCAACCCCCACAAAAATGCTTAAATAATTATTCCTGCAAACACAGGAATAACAGGGGAAATAAGTCTTTTCAATGAATGGGTGCTATGATTACAGACCTGCACCACTACTCCCAGCTAAGAATATGGTCATGTGTCCAGGTGCAAACTGGGGCTTCTATCATTACAGAATAAAAGGAAAACAGACATCCATAAATAACTAGCAGAGGTAACTAATGACTTACCTAATTACATGAACCTCACCAAAAGCTAAAAAGAAAAATAATCTGGTCACAAAAGATGAAAGAATAAGATGAAGAACACACTAAATCAAACAGTATAAAAAATGACTGTTTAGTAGTTGAAAGCATCCAAGGAGAAAAATTTGCAGAGGAGTATTGAAACAGCCAAAAGTTCTGAAGGTGGAGAAATTGTTTTTACAAGGGGGCAGTCAGAAACAGTGTTGTCAACACAGTTATGGTCTAAGAGGGTCAAGCTATATTTTGAGCAGGCAGCAACTTGGCAGTGCTGTCCAAATGGGTACTGGTTTGGGAAGAATGAAAGATCATGACTGAGGAGACCATGGAGTCTTGCTCCACAGCTTCCGAGAGCAACTGAAGCCAGGCAATGTGGAGCAAAGTCTGAATCCCTGCAAGGAAACCTTGAGAGACCATTGTGTGAACCCGTGAAGTCTTAAATTGCAGTGCAGACCCCAGGATGATGGCTATGCTAAGGTGTCTGCTAAGGAGAGCAGCAGCCATGGAGTGGGGCTAGCCAAATCTCTTTGGGTGCTGCAAGTAGCAGAGCTGGAGAGGTGTGGCTACTCAAGACCTTGTTGAACCTAGGATTACATTACAAACTCTGGAAGCTGGATATAGTGCTGCCAGATTTGGTGTTTTCCTTGCTTTGGCCTAATCACTGACATGCCCTTTATCCTTCCCTTTTGGAATAAGAAGGTTTACTCTGTGCCACTGTATGTTGGGAGTATGTAACTTTTTGATTATATAGCCACCCAGAGTTAAGAGGCTTTGGACTTCTAAAGTGTTTGAATTGTTAAAGACCTTGGGGAATTTCAAAATTGGACTGAATGTATTTTACCTTACAATGATCGTGAGCCTATAGGGATAAGGAGTGGAAGGCTATGGCTTAAAAGTGATGTGTTTGGGTGTCAACTTGAGAAAGAGTGAAGTTGTGATGGCTAGTATTGTCAAGTTGACAGGATCTAGAATCACCTGGAAATGGACCTCTGGGCACAACTGCAGGGGAATTATCTCAATTATTACTTGAGGTGGAAAGACCCAGCCACTGCGGGTGGCGCCATCCCCTGGCTGGGATCCTGGGCTGTACAAATGGAGAAAGGGAAATGAGCACCAGTATGCATTCCCCACCTGATTTCTTTTAAAATTTTTTTATTTTTTATTTTATGTGTATGAGTGCTTTGCCTGCATGCGACTGCACCACTTGCATACAATGCCTGTGGAGGCCAGAAGAGGGTGTCAGATGCCCTGGAACTGGAATTTCAGATGGTTGTTAGCTGCCATGTGAGTGCCAGGAAATGAACCCAAGTCCCCTGCAAGAGCAGCCAGTGCTCTTAACTGCTGAGGCATCCCTCCAGTGCCCCTCCTCCACTTCTGGATTGTGGGTGTAATGTGACCAGCTGCTTCAAGCTCCTGTTGCCTTGACTTCCCCAACATAATTGAGTATACCTTGAATTGTGACCAGAATAAACCCTTTCTCCCATAAGTTGTTTTCGTTAGTGTATTTTATCACAGCAACATAGAAAGAAACGCACACATCATTTTATTCTTATTTCCAATTTCTGAAAAACATACTATCAACTACTTTTATTGTTTCTGGCAGTATTTCTTGTATGCATGCATGTGTACATGCATGGGAGTAGAGTGCAAACATAGTCTTCCACTACCACAAAGTATGCAATGGAGTTTCCCTCATTTGGGGAAATTTCAGGGGTCAGCTAAATGCAATGGGTAAGCCTTGCCCTGGGAAAACCAACTTCTTGATCATATTATCTCCCCTGCCAGGGTAAGTGTCTGGCAGTATTTCAAGAACATATATTGTGTTTGGTGGGTATATAAATATATGTAATCTAAAATGCAATCATTTTTATTTTAGAAGCACTTGTTTTGTTGGAAGGTTTTTATTTGCTATGTTAACATATGCATATGTTAGAAAAAATACTGAATAGTCTCTTCCAAGAAACCCCAATGTAAACAAGCTAGTGTAAATTTACGTAATACTCTTGATAATTAATTTTAAATCTACAGATAGGTTTGGTTTCTATGAAAAAAATAACAAAATGTGACTAAGATAAAATATTCAGGAGAGACAATATTTAATGTTTCAGGAAAAGACAGTTAACAGGGTTTGTTTGTTTTCATTACAAGTTCAGAAGGGCTTAACCACAGATACAAAGATAAATAAGGAAAAACTACCAAATATACACAAATATAATTCTCAAATTGAGGACTGTGATAGAAAGGTAGCACTAAAGTCCACATACATCCAAATAATCTAAGTGTTAAAAAAAAAGGATACATTTTCTTTAGATACTTCTGTAGCTGCTGTAAGTTTGGAAAGAAGAATACTTTTAACAACATGATATCTTCCAAAATAATGTAATTTTATGTCTCCAAAATGCAATAAGCCCACCAATCTCTCTACGTAAATGTTTTGGTTTTTTTTGAGACAAGGTCTCCCTATGTAGCCCTGGTTGGCCTAGAACCTGCTGTAGATGGGCTGGCCTCGAACTCACAGAAATCACCTGCCTCCACCTCCCCAGCACTGGAATCAAAGGCATGGCACTACCCCATGCCCAGCAAAGAACATTTTTACAAAATTTATTTTTATTTTATGTGTGTGAATGTTTGCCTGCTTGGTATACATGTGTACTATGAGTATGTCTAATGCCTGTGAAGGCCAGAAGAGGGTGTTGGATCACCTAGAGCTGGAGTTACAGCTAGCTGTGAGTCACCTGATGTGGGTGCTGGGAATGGAACCCAGTTCCTCTGACAGAGTACCAAGCAATCTTAAGCACTGAGCCATCTCAACAGCCCCCCCCCCGAAGAAGTTGTCTTTGTGTTTATGTATGTGTGTGGTACTTGGAACTGAACCCAGTACCTTGTATAAACTAGGCAAGTATTCTCCCATTGAGCTCTGTACCCAGCCCTCTTTTGACTTTTTATTTTGACACAGGGTCTTACCAAGTTGCCCAGGCTGGCCTTGAGAGCGTTCTATCCTCCTGCATCAGCCACCCAAGGAGCTAGGATTACAGATCTTCCAACCAAGCCCAGCAAAATTAAATTCTTGAGATCACCACATCTCTAGATTTATTTAAAAGACGTAAGAGCTGGGTACAGTGGCACACACCTATAGTTTCAGTTTACTTGGGGTGCTGAGGCAGGAGGATTCTTGAGCCCAGGAGTTAAGAGGCCAGCCTGGGCAACACAAGACCTTGTCTCAAAAGGGGCAGAATGGTACTGACACAGAGGCTCTAGCATATGCCATGTAGGAAAACAGGGAATACCAGCCTGGACAATCAAGAAAGTCATGTTCACCGGGTATGGTGGCGCACGCCTTTAATCCCAGCACTCAGGAGGCAGAGGCTGGAGGATCTCTGCCAGTTCAAGGCCAGCCTGGTCTACATAGCGAGTTCCAGGCCAGCTGTGGCTACAGAGAGACCCTGTCTCAAAAGATAAAAAAAATTTTTAGAAAAAGAAAGTCATGTTCCAGTTTGGGTTGAGCCCCATTTAGTCACTCTCCCAAAGTCTTAATTTCCTTATAAAACACTGCAGTTAAGACTCATTTTCTCCCTCACAGTAACTCTAAGGCACTTTACTGTGTTTCAAGTCAGAAACAGAAATTTAGAGCTCAACTACAGTATTCTAATTCTTAAAATCAAAATAACATGACCAGAATCATAAGGCAGCATTTATAATATTGAACTTAGAAAAAAACTGTAATATTAAAATAAAAAGAGCATTTGACAGAGATTTCCTTTAGGTAACAACTCTGTGACTATACACTCAGAATTTGTGAATATGTCACATATTTCATTAGTCTAATGTCAAAATAGAGAGTCAAAATGATTCTTAGTTTCCTAAGGACATATGCTAATGAAGAGAAGAATTACCCCATTTAAATTTAAAGTATGCACTTAAATTATGTGCGTACTTCATAATATTTTATAGAAAATAAATGCCCAGATACAGTACAATTTAATTTGGCTTCTTCCTTAATTTGCTTTTTATAGCAGACATGTTAATTTCATTTTGAACATGATATGCCAAATATCCTGAACTCCCAGGAATGAAGTCATGTAACTCCCCCAGGAATTTCTCCATAGCATCGATCGATATATAACCTATAAGATAAGAAGAAGTATATACACATTTGAAATCCTACATACTATTTGATTTTCAGTGTTTTTATTAAAAAATTTAAAGAACATATTTTAGAAAGAACTAAAAAATAATTTTAGTGAAAAGATTCTTCTTGAAAGATGTTAGTGGGAAACCCACTCCTCCTTCTCCACAATCATCTACCACCTTTCTAAAAAAAAATAAATAGGGGCTGGAGAGATGGCTCAGCAATTAAGAACACTGGTTGCTCTTGTAGAAGACTTGGGTTTGAATCCCAGCACCCACATGGCAGCTAACAACTGTCTGTAACACCAGCCCCAGGGGATCCAACAGCCTCTTCTGACCTCCAAGGGCATTGCATGACATGGGTGCACTTAACTACATGCAGGCAGTACATGCATACACATAAAATAAAAATAATAAAAATTTTTGTTGCTATTTGTTTGAGACAAAAATCTCGCATAGCACAAGGTGACCTCAAACTTGATATGAAGCCAAGGATGACCTTAAACTCTTGATCTTCTTGTCTCTACCTTCCAAGTACTGGGATTACAAGGATACTCCCCATGTCCCACTTATGCAGTGCTGGGTATTGAACCCAGGCCTTTGTGCATGCTAGGCAAGCACACTACCAACTGAGCTGCACATTACCAGTCCTCAACATCATTTTTTAAACTTTTTAGTTTACAAAATAATGATTTTTAGCCAGGCGTGGTGGCGCATGCCTTTAATACCAGCACTGGGGAGGCAGAGGCAGGCGGATCTCTGTGAGTTCAAGGCCAGCCTGGTCTACATAGTGAGTTCTAGGACAGCTGGGGCTACAGGGAGACCCTGTCTCAAAAAGACCAAAAAAATCATTTTTATTATGACACTTTCATGCAAATATATGATTATATTTTGGACATTATCTGTCTCCTCTCTTCGACCCACCTTCCCTCCTCACTGTTTTTTGTTTGTTTGGTTGGTTGGTTTTTTTTTTGGTTGTACCCAGGCATCCAAGCTGGTCTAGAACTCACTTGTAGCCCAGGCTGGCATTGAACTTATAGCAAGTCCCTTACCTTGGCCTCCTAAGTGCTGGGACTGTAGGCATGGACAACCACACCTGGCTTTGTCCTAACTGCTTTTGAAAAACATAGATATTTGATAAACTACTTTAATTACTGAGAAATTACTGGGGCTGGAACATAAAAGTACTTAAACCAAAGTGACTGGGAATAACTGGCTCAGACCATAGTATCTCTCCAACTACTTACTAACAGTACAAACAGCCAATCTTCTCTATTTGAGCAGACAAAACTTCCAAGCACTGATAATACTGGAATAATATTCTTTAGTGAAAAATTAATAGTAAATCAATACTACTGCTCAGTCAATAAAAGTTATGGGTGTAATTTTGATGTCATTAACAATCTGAAATAGATATAAATATCAAAAAAGAAACCCTGCCCAATGCAAAGAGCTTAGGGACTCGATGATTTTAAACAGTAACTTGATAGCAACTGTTTACTATTTGAATGATATTTTTATGTAATGCAAATGTTTGTGGTTTATACTGAAATTGAAATCTAATTTATAAATAAACACTGTATGTAAAAAAAATCTAGGCGAGCCCAACTATGATTTAGAACAGAACGACCATTAATAGCAACAGAATATTTATACAGAGTTTGTTTTAGTCATAAACAATAAACTCATAGCTTAAAAAATTAAGAATACAGTCATATAAAATTAGCACCTTTTTATTTTTTATTTTTTGGTCTTTTTGAGACAGGGTAAGTTGGTCTTGAACTCACAGAGATCTGCTTCCTGAGTGCTGGGAAAAATTAGTATCTTTAAATATATTTTAATCATAGTTATTTGCTTTATTAGCTCTTAAAATTTATTTTTTTTATTTTATGTGTATGAGTGTTTTGCCTGTGTGTATGTAGGTATACCACATGCATGCAATGCCCATGGAGGTCAGAAGAGGACATCAGAGATATATCTGATATCAGAGGGGAATCATAGAAGGAGAAACAGTCTGAGTTAGAGTTGCTTTTTTCCTTTTATATCTTCAGTAGGACATTTAAAATGCCATAGATTATTATAGAACTTTCAAATAGTTATGTCAATTTTATGTTGAAATTACAGAACTCTATTATAAGCAACTTTAAACAAAATAGAGCTTAATGGAAGGTCTGTGCTCTACCAGTAGTGTTGTGCAGAAGGCAGGCATACTGGGGGACTCAGCGTTAACCAGGATCAGTTCTTATCACTTTCTCCCTGGTATCAAGCTTTGCTCTACATTTTAAGCCCATTTTCCTTTTCTGAGGCAAGCCGTCTTTCCTCTAATTGCAGAAAATATGGTCATTTGAGTGTGGCTTAGTAGTAAAGTACCTGCTTAGCATGCATGTTATACCATGTCAAAAATTCCAGGTATTCGGTCCAAAAGCAATTGCTGGGATTGCAGAACAAACTCATGTTTTAGAAAAACGTCCGCTCCTGGGCTGGTGAGATGGCTCACTCCGTAAAGGAGCTTGCCATCAAACCTGACCACCTGAGTTCAATGACTGGAACCCATATGGTGGAAAGAACTGACTCCATAGGGTTGTCCTCTGGCCTCCACATGTGTGCTGCGTATGCAAGCCCACACACATACATCACACACACACACACACACACTACACACATATGTATATACATACATATATATATTTGAATAACAACACATGACAGAATTAATGGTATGTCATTTCTGAGAAAAAAAGGACTGGCTTCTATCCTGGGTATCCCTCTTGCTGACTTGTGGGTTTCTTACCCAGAGAGAAACAAGCTACAGTGTTCTGAACAACCTTTATGAAAAGGTCCATGTGGTGCAGAATGTTTGGCCAAAACTGAGCAAGGACTCAAGACCTGGTAACAACCACATGAGTGAGCTTTGAAGTGGACTGTCCACTCCCAGCTGTGCATTAGGATGACTGTACCCTTGCTGACAACTTGACTGAAAAGTTACAAGATTCTGAATAAGGAGTCAGTAAATACGTTCCTGGCTCTGACTCTCTGAAACTAAAATAGTAAGTGTTCATTACTGTTTTGTCCTGATATCTTTTTTCTTTTCTTTTTCACTTTTGTTGAGACAGGGTCTCATGTATCCCAGTCCGGTTTCAACCTGTTTCGCAGCTGAGGTTGGCCTCCACCTCTAAAGTGCTAGAATTACAGGTGTGTGCCACTATGCAGCTTCTGTGGTGCTGGGGATTAAACCAAGGGTTTTGTGCATGCTAGGAAAGCACTCTACCAAATGAAGTTCAAGTTCATCCCCAGGCTGTGGGTTTTTTTTTTTGTTTTTGTTGTTTTGTTTTGTTTTTTGAGATAGGATCTCACATAGTAGTCCAGATGGCCTGCAACTCACTATGTAGCCCAGACTACAAACTCAGTGATTCTCCTGCCCAACCTCCCAAACGATATTTACAGATGTGAGCCACCATGCCATCTATATGGTCATTGTTTTAAGCTGCTAATTTTTGGAAATATTTTATACATACCACCAATAGATAACTAAGTAGTGTGTATGTTGGATTCCTCATTTAATTACTGGAATCATTTGGAGATTTTTGCCAGTATAAAGTACTTACAATTATTAGTAATTGTTTTCTTTTCTTTAGTAATCACAAATGTAACTTATCAATTAGAACTTATCATGGTTGATAACAAGTGATATCAAACTGAGAAGACTTAATGACAGTCAAAAGCAATAAAACAAAAACTTGTAATAGTAAGGGGTCATTTGGCAAGGTCTGGAGATACTTTTGTCACAACTGGGGAAGAAGTTGTATGACTAGCACCTAGTGGGAAGAAGCCAGAAACTCAGCTAAACATCTTACAATACTGCATAAAATTGACACTCATCTATCTCTGCCCAAATAATGCTTTGGTATAAAATGCCAGCAGTATCCCAGTTCAGAAGAACAGAATGACAGAATAGAAGCTTGTTCTAAGACAAAGCTCAAGCTGTGTTTTCTATAACCAAAGACCTCAATTCTATTTTCAGAAATTTAAGTCACTGAATTTAACCCATTTTGAGAAAGAGACAGTCAAACTGTAGTAATGTTACCAGAGTTGTTAGGTTGAGAGCCCAGGCCATAAGAACGCTAACAGGCCAGGCTGGGCCACCTGCCCTCAATAGCCCAATTAAAGAGATAAATATAGAAAAAGAAGATAAAGGTGAATTGATCAATATAAGCACATTGGGAAGAAGAACCAGTGACATGCGCTACTATGCCCCACCGCATCTTTGAGGTCCTGATATGAGGTGCAGGTTGGATAGAGGGCAAGAGCTAAGCAGTATCAGTTAAAGTGTGGTCCTGCCCATCTTCATGGTCCAGGCTCCATTCTCTCAAGCAAGGTGATCTGACAGGCTGTAAATCTCTTTTCTGGAGACAAGCTCATACTCTGGCTGGTCCCAGGCTCCCAGCTTTCCTTATCCCAGCATGAGTTTGCTGGGGAAATTCACTTCCAATTTCTTGGGGACCACTGTTTTAATTGACTGGTAGTTGAAGGGAAGGGAACAAGTATCTCTTTAGAATATCTTCATTCCTGCCAGGATGGTGACAGAATCAAAATTTTATACTACAGCCTAAATTAGAATGAACCTTCACTAATCATCAGAAGTTGATTTTTTCCAAGAAATGATTCTTCCTGTGTAAGTAAAAGGGTATACATAATAAGGGAAGTGGCAGTTCCTACTAGCCGAGTTGCCCTGAAGATGGGCTGGATCCACCCACTTTTCTAAATCCTGGAACTTTTCTCTTTTCTGCCTTTCTTTTGAATGCTGGCCAGAACCTAAGTGTGCCTCTTCTGATGCTTTGGGCTTCCTCACTTTTTCTCCAACACCCTCCTCCCCACCATGCAGCCATGTGCCATGCAGCGGCTAATCTCCATGCCAGCTTAACTCTTGGTCTTCTCCATTCTCTTCCTTCTGGTATCTGCTGAGATTTATACAGTTTGCCTGTCCTGGGGATTTTCTTTTATACTCTAATAAAATTTTACTGTTTGAATAAACTTTGGCTTTGTTTGACTTGTTGTAGATTGGGGGGCAGTCTAAATATGATTGAGATGTATTGCGGGAAATGCACACAAAAATTCAATAAAAATATACATTGAGAAAAATAATGAAAAGGGAAGTATGTGTTGTTTCACATCAAAATTAAAGGCAAGTAAATTATCTCTAGAAAATGATTCTTTCTAATAAAGTACTATTAAACTAATATAGAAAAGTAAAGGAATGAAATAATTATTCAACTCATCAGAAAATTTTACTTTAGTTCTATCAAGAACATCAACAACAGATAACTATGGATTAAAACTGTACTTTAAAATCTTGTAGGCTGAAGGTATAACAATGATATAGTATGTGCTTAGTGAAAGGTTTTGGGTTTGGGGTTCAAGGGGGACACTGAGGTGCACTGTTCTTTAGGGTAAGAATGTAAGATGTAAGAACATAATGTTAGAAACTTGCTGCTGCTCAGGACACAATACTTTGCAGAACTCTCTCCCTTTCATACACACTGACACGACATCCTACTGAGACACCCTAGCTAACAGATTTCCCTGGATCTCTCACCTGAAAGTTTACATCAAAAGGAAGTTTTGGTCACACATCCTACTCCCTCTCCACCCCCCTACCCCTGCCTCCTGTCTGGGAATAAGAATCTAGCTTCATGCTTATGCTGTGAAACCTCCCCCAGCCTCAGAAAGGTATAAAAAGAGATCCCACTTCTACCACATGGACATTGATTCTTCTCTTCAGCAATCCCGCTATACTGTCTCTGGTGCTAGGGACCTGAACTCTCCTCAGAGCCCCTGCCATGCTGTTGTCTATACATAGCATTAATAACTTTTATAATACCTCACTCCCCAGTTATCTGTCTCAGTGTACTTGGACCCTACACTCCCACCCAAAACCTTTCATTAGAAGAGTTATTAACACCATAGACATACATACAGACATAAAGACAGCAGTATACCAGGGGCTCTAAGGAGAGTTCAAGCACCTAGACAGAGTGTGTGTGTGTGGGAAGGTCCCTTCTTATAGGTCTCAGAGGAAAGGGAAGGTTTCATATCATGTAGGTGGTTGGTGAGTAGTCTGCAACAAGGACTCACAGCCAGGCTGACCCTGATTCTCAGCTGTTGGCAGGGGAGTGGGAGGGAGGGTTTTGCATTGCCAGGAAGGAAAGTACAATTCTGATGATATGGGGGAAGAGAGGAGGAGGGACACATCTAGTTAAGGTGTACCCATTTTACAGGTAGCCCTCCGATGCTGCAGTAGGCAGTCTGAGGCTGTAAACTTCCATGGAGAAGTGAGAATGGCACCCGCCACCCTCCTGCAAGCTGGGCCCCTGGGGAAGTCTGCTACAGGGTCACAGATTCAGGTAGGCTCTCAGTATGGGGCTGTAAGAAAGAGGCTGTTACAGGTTGGTATGATCTGAGCAGCAGCAGTCCATCTGGATTCCAATACTTGGCACATTCAAGGCCTTGGGTTCAATCCCCAGCACCTAATAATAAGAATACCTGTACTTTTAACATGGCTTTTTTTTTTCAGTTGGTTGATTGGTTGGTTTTTTTGAGACAGGGTCTCTCTATCTCACTGAGATCCACCTACCTCTGCCTCCCAAGTGCTGGTATTAAAGGTGTGTGCCACCATACTTGGCCATTGCTATGTTTTAAAAATAGCTTTTTAAATCTTTTTTTTTCCCACTGTTATCAATGACCTCACTGAATCTTACCCATATCAAACTAAGTAACCACCTTACTCAGAACTACCCAAATAACCAGTGATTAATTTTCAATTGGTTTCTTTAATTCCAACCATCTCAACTTTTGTAATCTCATCATGGCAGGAATAAAGATATTTTATTCTATTTTTTATTATTTAAAAAATTTAAATTTATTTTTATTTTATGTGTCTGAGTGTTTTGCTTGAATGTATATAGTGTACCATGTGCATGAAATGCCCACAGAGGCCAGAAGGCATCAAATTCACTAGAATTGGAGTTATATATTGTTGTTAGCCTCCATGTGGGTGCTGGGAACCAAATTCCAGTCCTCTGCAAGAGCACCCAGTGCTCTTAATCACCGAGTCATCTCTCTAAAGGAAGATTTTTTTTTTTTTTTTTTGTCTTAGATACCCTTGTGGTCTTCCCTTTAGCTATTAGGCTATTGAAAAATAGAACCCAAGAAATTGGAATTTCCTCAGGCTTCTCTAAGCAGTGCTAGCTTGAGGGCGAGCTTGCTTCCTGGAAGAGGATTTTCCACAGATTGTCAAAACACCTTGCAGGAGAGACTGGAGCTGAGATAAGATGATGGGCAGGATCACACCTTGCCTGATACTACCTAGTTGTACAAACCTCCTGCCCTCCCTTCAAACCTAAATCTCATATTAGGACCCTGAAGATGAACTTGGGGAAGGGGGGAATCACTCTTTGTTCCTCTCCCAATGTGGCCACATTGAATAAATCTCCTTTCTCTGCTTTTCCTATTACTTTGTCTCTTTAATTAGCTTAGCTGATTAGAGCTGTCAGAAACCAGGCTCTGATCTTAAAACTCAGGAAACAATTTCAGTTTTGGTTTGTTTCTTCTCCTCATGTGGGCACTCATGCAGGATGGGGTAATCCATGAACAGTCTCTTTAAAATCTGTCTTATAGGCCTATGTATGTGTGATGGACCAGGGAAAGAGGATTATTATAGTTCATCAAATTTTCAAAGAAAACTATGACTGGGGCTGACCATATAATTTATCTAATTCTAACACTTAAGAGTAAAGCCTGGCCCGGCGTGGTGGTGCACGCCTTTAATCCCAGCACTTAGGAGGCAGAGGCAGGCAGATCTCTGTGCATTCAAGGCCAGCCTGGTCTACATAGTGAGTTCCAAGACAGCTGGGGCTACAAGGGAGACCCTGTCTCAAAAAGACCGAAAAAGACCATGGTGCTAGGCATGCAGGGGGCCCCAGGTTCCATACCCAGCACTATAAAAACAAATGAAAAGAAACAGAAGAACTGATGCCAGAACCTGTAGAAATAAACGGGGGCTGTCTCATACAAGTAAGAGCAAGTGTTCACCCCACCTAAAGACCCCTGTTTTAGCACAGAAAATACAAAGCCTATGCTTGGGTCCATTCTGTAGGTTATTTTTTCAGCAGATGAATGGCATTTCTCATATTACCATGTGTAAAAGAGGAGTCTCTGCTTGCTGGACATTTGAAGAACAAAAGCTTTATCCTGTACACTAGTCCATTGTTTCTTCCCTAGCTGAGATTAGTCTAATTTTTATTTTATATTACCTGTTACCATGTTGTTTACTGGATAATTCTGAAGTGGGAAGTACATCTGCTTTTCTATGACTGGAGTCCTTATAAAATGCTTCTCTGCACTATAAAAATAAACATATGAAGGTCACATACATATTCAATTTTGAAACTTATAATTGAGTGTATTCCAGGCAATGTATACAATAATTTAATAGCTCTTTAATCGAGTTTTAGTCTTATTTGGATGAAAATGTTAATTGTGAACTGCTTTTGTGATTCTAAGAAAGGGACCATATAGCTATTTTTGGTTTTCTTAGCTACTTCACAAATTAAATAAATATTGATCATATAGAGGTCTGGGTCTTCTCAATATCCCTGAAAGCACAATAATAATTTATAATTAAATAAAATAGGACTGGGAATATAACTCAGTGGCAGGGCTTTTGCCTAACATGCATGAGGCCTGGTTCAATCTCCAGCACTGCCAAAAATAATATAATTATATACATACATGTTGATGTATATATACACACAAGTGAAATCTTAAATATGCCAAAAGAAAAGCACAGTAGACTCTATAAAAGGTCATAGCACTTTTGTAATTCAGTATTCAAATAATTAAGACTATATTAAACTAGAAAATATTTCCATAATTTACCATAACAAGTAACAAAACAATGTTTGGGAAACCGATGAGGTACAATGAGATTTGAAGCAATTTCTGAATTTTTTAAAAAAGTTAAATTATGTTTAATGTGGTTATACAGTATATTTAGTTATACTTATCTTTTAAAAGCTGAAAAGCTTTCAACAAAAATACTCCATTTTCCTTTCTTTCTTTTCTCTTTTTTTAGAATTGAATCTGGTTATGTTGCCCAGACTGATCTGGAATTCCTGGGGTCAAATGATCCTCTCAAGTAGCTGAAACTACAGGTGTACATCATCATACCCAACAAATGTACTATTTTCTAACTATTTTCTATGCATAAAAACAGCATTTATTAGACTTCATATACATAAAAAAATAGTGTGTGGAAATGAAATCCTCAATAACAGTCATCAATAACTTCATTTTTATAAAAAATAAAATTGTATTAATAAAAGGCTTTATTTCCAATTTTTTAAAAATTAGGTTTAACAAAAAATGTTCCAAGAGAAACCATGTATCAGTTAAATGAGATCCCCCAAATAAAGAAAAAGTGTTCTCAGAAAAGTCTGAGATTAAACCCATTTGTATATTTGAACAGGAGTGTAAATTGGTTTAACTTCTATTAAAGGCCATTTGATAAGAGCTATCAAAAGTACAAATACACATGCCTACTGACCTAGTAATTTTCCTTCTATAAAATTATCCTACAGATACTTGCACACATACAAAAGGACTTGTAAGGAAGCACTGTTTTTAATAGCAGATTAGAAAAAAGCCAGTTACACTGGGCGTGGTGGTGCACGCCTTTAATCCCAGCACTCAGGAGGCAGAGGCAGACAGATCTCTATGAGTTCAAGGCCAGCCTGGTCTACATTGTGAGTTCCAGGCCAGCTGGGGATACAGGGAAACCCTATCTCAAAAAGACCAAAAAAAGAAATGAAAAAAGCCAGTTACATTAAATTAGGAACAATAAGATGGCTTAACTGGTAAGGTACCTCCCACCAAGCTTGATGACCTGAATTAGATCTGCTGACATGTACACTTCCATCACATACACACACAAAATAAAATAAGTAAAATTTAAAAACTCAAGCCAGGCTGGACATGGTGACACATGCTTTCAGTCCCAGCACTTGGGAAGTGGAGACAGGTAGATCTCTGTGAGATCGAGGCCACTCTGGCCTACATAGCGAGTGCCAGGCCAGCTGGAGCTACAGGGAGATCCTGTCTCAAGAAAATAAAATAATGATAATAATAATAATAATAACAACAATAATAATAATTATTATTATTATTTCAAGCCAGACAACAAAGGAAGGATGCAATTTATCAAACTAGCAAAAGGATA